TTTTAAACACATGTGCTCTACAGTACAGGTTAGCTCTGAGTGTTAGCGAGGCTTGCTAATGTAAGCAAAAACGAGATTACCCAAAACACGTCAGGCATTGTTTCTGATGGCAACTTTCTGTGTGTCCACCGCCGATATTACGTCATATCTGCAGCAAATCTGTATCCGCTCATTGTACCCCCGTTTTTAAAAGATTTGGGTACGGGAAAAGAGAAAGGGTTTTATTTTCTGATGCTGCGTGAGTTCCCTGACACACCGGGGACACATATTTATGTATAAAAGACCTCAAAAAGTGCATTTTGCGTGATAGGTCCCCTTTAAGTAAACACCTACACATGATCAACTTGTATTCACTCAGAGCACTAAATAAAACAGGCACACTATACATGCTGGAACACTTGAACATCCACAAGAGAGCAACTCAGAATCAGAAAACTCATAAATACAACACTGCCCTCATGTGGAGTGATTGAAGAAATACTTTTATTTTAATTTCCTCTTCAATATAAATTAAAAAGAAATATCAAAACAGTGTCCACTCTTGGGTTTATCAGTCTTATTTTGATCAAAGTTGATCCACATTTGGATATACAACTCTTTAAACTCAGGACAGGAAATCAATCTAACTCTAAATAATGTGACCAATTGTCCACTGTATTAAACTGTAAACAGATACTTCCTATGGGTTTACTCTTAACTTAACCTTTCACTTGGAACAGTTATGCTATTATTATGCATAATACTGAGTTGTGTTACAACACAAACCCTTTTATTTCATACCATTTCTTACAATCCATTTGGCTTGAATACATACAACACAAAAGTATTACAAACTATAGCCCATTCATTCACAGGCACCCAGTGTACAAGGACTATAAGAGCAGCTGTAAAACAAACTTTAAACTTACAAGACTAAAAATAAGGATATCATTGAGAGAGTAAACAATGGTATTTTCCAGGTTTTTATTATTTATTTAAAAAGTAAAAACATAAGAAAAAAATATCATTGGATAAAAAGTGAATCATTGAATGTTTAGATATGCCTTTGAATGGAGTAGTTATACAGATGTGGCCTGTAACCCAATTCATACGTCTAGTTTCTGTGTGAATACCTGATAAGCAGCTTTCAGTGTCCGGTCTAAAATAGAAACATCACAACGTCGTCACAGTGGGTGAATATGGTTACTTTGAGATGGGCTGGGCCGCTTTGTTCTGGACATGATCCACGCTTCACATTATCTGATCTTCAGCCTGCGTGTTGAAAAATAGCAGATGCTCACAGAGAATAACCACAGGAACAAGTAAGAGTTTATTTTCTAACTTGAACCTATTGGCAATTACATTGGCTAAAAATACATTGTTCAATAGTGGGTCTACACTGTTTGTTAATCCAAAAATGTGCAATTCTTTCTTTATTTTGCTCTGTTGATTGTGTGTTATGAATAACTGAGACAGCCTTGTTAATAACAATATTTGTTTTGCTATATTAATGTATTATTATTTGTAATTGTCAAGCTGAAGCTTTGATGCAAATATCCAAGAGATCAGAGATTTATTTCCATATTAAAGCTATTGCTTTTCTATTTTGTACATACATTATAAGACACATATAAGCTCCTCTGCTTTGCAAGATGTCTCACATTTATCTAAAGTTTTACACAACTGCAGTATTCTTGTTCTTGTCTTCTAACACTTTACTGTGTACTCTGGTTTATATATTTCGAGTGCATTATTTAAAATGATTGTTCCATCTAATTTGTTGAGTGTTTTTATGGTTAATGATGCAAACATCATTCCCAAGATTATATATATTTCTTTACAGCCTTCCTGAAACTACAGCTAATGTGAACACTGCTGTATTTACCTCTCAGTAGGAGTGTAGTGCTCCCCTCTCTCTGGCCCCCCCGCAGCCAGTTGGCTGGCTTTGATAAGAGACTGAAGGCGGTGAGGTCACCATTCGACTGCTTATCTTCACAGCCAGGGCTGGTGCTTCTCGGGGCTATTTAACTTGTTTTTAAACACGTGGATTTTCGTCATCGCTTTCTCAATTCACCATAGACTGTATATATAAAGGTTGTGACTGAACTTTTTGAAAATGTTGTTAGATTTTAAGTAATCAAATAAAGACGTTTCTTAAATTCAGTCAGAAGAGCCTAAGTAACTTTAAGGCACTCTTGGCATATCTCATTCAAGTAACTGTAAAATATTTCTTCCAAACACTTGCTTTTTACAAGGGGTTGATTTTTGGTTAATTTACACACTTTGACTAACTAGCACTTATTTCTCTTTGATTTAACTAAATGTAAAATGTAATGTTATATTTTATTCCATTCTATTTCAATGTAAATACTGCTTTATTTTATTTTTTCCTATATTTTTCTTATTTATTTTGTTATGTTATTATAGTGTTCTTAAAATAGCTATCTGTGTTTTTAAATGTTTGTATTACTTTTATGTATACACCACGACACCAAGTCAAATTCCTCACCTACCTGGTGATAAACCCATTTCTGATTCTGATACTCCACATATTTGCTTAGCTCTTACATTGGCTAAACTACTTTATTTTAACTTCAGTCCATTACAAAAAAGACGGATAAAACGCACACAGACAGACACACTCACACATTTAAAAACATTTATATCAGGAAATACTACTTCACTTCTTCTGAGTGCGGCATCATTTACCAAAATGTGCCATCAGAGGGCGACATCTCACAATCTTCTTTCTCACATCCATGCCACATTGAGAGTTCAGAGAAAATATCTAAATAGAACCATTGTCTGCAGTACATTATTAACTTTTACATAGTGGACCTTTTTCTAAACTGGGGTTTTGATGGAATACTGTATACACAGCAGGACTGTGGATTAGTTATATTAATTGTTTACTACAAGTTAGTGATAGATCTGTTTCATTGCGGCTGTGCTTTCCTTTAGCGTTGTGTCTCCCTGTCTGACACCAACTAATTATAATGCAACACTCAAACCATTCACAGGAGTGTGGCCAAAACATACAGTGAGTTGTTCATTTTTGGTGAAAAACATGAGGGAAATGGATACAGAAAGACATTAGGGTGACACAGTATTGAAAAAAGCCCATAAATAATTTCACCATAATCTGTCTCCTCAGACATGGCAGGGAGCAGACTGTGAGGAGGGAAAACCTCGTAATCTGTCCCGCCTGCCGCTCACTGCAGCCAGCAGTGAAGGGTGATGCTCAGGATAGCTTCCCTATAGGATTATATGATAGCACATGTCAGTGAAAGGGCACCTGGATAAATAATAATAATAATAATAATAGATTTAATTTGTTAGCGTTTTTACAGGTGCTCAAAGACGCTTTACAGATATAGTGAAGAGAAAAGAAAAGAAAGGAACAACAGATAAATATATAGTTAAAGTAAAGGTTAAGTAAAGTTAAAGGATAGACAAACATCTAAACACACTCTACACCACAAGAGTAGTCAGGTTGCATTTTTCAGCCCCTGCTAGGAGTTAAAGGTCCCCTATTATACTATTTTTCATCAATATATTATAGGTCTCAGATATATACAAAACATGTCTCTGAAGTGTTTGGCTCCAAATACCAAACAGATCATGCATGGTAGCATCCCATAAACCCCTCTGTTTCAGCCCTGTTTCAAAAGTGCTGATTCTGTGTCTGTTACTTTAGATGAAAATAAGGAGCCACTTCCCACGCCCCTCTGAGAGATATTTGGTTCAAATAAAACAAAAAGGTGCTCTAGGAGGAGATTCAGGTGATAAGGTGGGGGGGGGGGGGGGGAGTACCTTGGTTGGTGATTGGCTAATGGTTACACAAGCCAAAAAAACATTATGACATCACGAAGTGGCCGACATCTGATCAGCTCATTTTCAGACAGGATTTTATATAAATGGATCAGAACAAAAAGAGAGAGAATCTTTGTCCCTGGAACTTTCAGAATCTCTTTACACAGAGGGGACACATGTTTATGTGTAAAATACATGAAAAAGTGGATTTTGCACCATAGCTGACCTTTAAAGTCATTACAGCTGAGAGAGTTGACTAGAAATTGTACATTGGCTATAGCTTAAGGATTCCCTTTTCTTCCAGATATCACTGAAGTCCTGTTTGAGTATCTGGTGCCTGAGAGGATGGAGCCAGAGGCAGAGCGGGAGTCTGAGTCCTGGGTTCCAGACAACAGCCAGGCTGGGCCTTCCTCTCCGGACTCCTCTGGGATCGAGGGAACCGTCGACCGGCTGCAGGAGATGATGAACGGCATGGAGACGCTGCTGACAGACATGGAGGAGTTACGGAGCGACTGCAGCCAACAGACTGCTGAGCTGATAAGTGCAGCGCTGGACCTGAGGACGGAGCAGGAAGAGATAAAGGAGGATTACTCTGAGTTGTCCAGGGAGATGCAGGAGCTCCTCGACACAGTGCAAAGCTTTTTGAGCACCAAGTGTGACTTCCAACCCTCAGAGAAGGAAGAATTAGCTGAGCAGCAGAGAGAGCCCAAAGAGACGGAGAGTGACTGACAGACTTTAAGGTTTCTTAGGAGATAAAACTGTGATGTGTGAGGTTGTGAATCTGGATGCACGGGTCAAAATCTGGATGGCATGCGTTTGTAAGTTGTGTGAGAAGCTGAGTTTTTGAAAAAGATACATTTTTAAATTACATTTTACGACATTTTGTTGAGCAAATAGTTCTTTTAGGTCTATATCTGAAAATCTGTCCACTGAAAAAGAGTTTCTAATATGCATGATTCGTTTTCAGTTCAGTAAATATATCACAGTGCATACAACTTTAAGAAAAACAACCATAAAATGGAATGAATACCTCTCTGTCGTATACTTTTAATAAAACATCATGAGCTTTACAAGGGTACAATTTGTTGCATAGCTTACTTTCTAGATTGCCACGTGCCACTGACTTTAACGCAAGCGATGACAAGACCATAATCCTGCGCTGCATGTGAACACATGATTTATATGCCACCCAGAAACAAACACACACACTTCACAGCTATCATTTCCCAGTACCAAGGTATTTTATGTTGACAGATATGATTTAAGTATGTTACTCTCTTCAGCCTGGATGGCTCCTCCAGCTTCTTCTTTGATGAATTTCTGGCACAGGAATGCTTCTCTTCTTTTGGTACATCTTCCATATGCTCTCCCCATCCAAGCTCCACTGTGGTTTCGTGCTAAAATAACCCTAAATGTGATGTTTACTTCCCACCAGCACCCCTGCTGCTACCCACTGGTTTGTATTTAGTGGTCAGGGGATGTGTGAAGGGGACAATCAGTGGCCAGCAACCTGAAAAGAAACCAAGGACCTTCAAGATCCCTCCACCTTAAATGTAATTTTAGTGGGTTCTTATGTCATGTACACAGGTTATGCAACCACTTCATTATGTGTACCAAAATATTCTCTTCCTCTTCTGTGTTGGAACAAACTTAATGCAAATGTTACGCAAACGCCCATATTTGTTTTCTAAATGTCTCAAAGTAAAACATGTGGCTGGTATTGAAAATACTTGATATAAATATCATCTTGAGTAGACCCACAGCCTGAGGGTCTTAAGAAGGCAAGGCAAGGCAAGGCAAGGCAAGTTTATTTATATAGCACTTTCAACACAAGGCAAATCAAAGTGCTTTAAGAAGAAATTATAGCTTATGTTAAACGTTAAAAAAAGAAGTACGAATCTTTTTTGAGGGATTCTGTTTACGTGTGGCTGAAACCTGACACTATATAGGCTGAGGGCTTGGTGAGCAGAGAGGGTGAGGAGAAGCTGTGCAGCCGTGCCTACCTTCATCACTGAGGTGTTCATCTCTCTGCTGCTCACTACCAGCCGGAGTCACTTCAAGAAGGTAAGACATGATCTGATGGCATTCACGGTTTCATTTATCCAGGTTTAAACTTTTTGCACATTCATGTCTAAGATATTAGCAAATAAATCTCTAGAGACATCAAGAAATGTAGCTTTCATCCCATATGGAATTATCCTTTATATTGAGTATTACAATTTAAGGTGTTTTCAGTGGTGGCATGTAACAAAGGTCATTACGTTTTGTATATGAGTATTTTCCTTCCATGCCACTTTAAATTTCTGCTCTTCCACATATTGGAAGAGTGGGGAAATATTGTATTTTCTACCCTACAGTGAATTAATCTGACAACTTTAGAAGTGGGTATTTTTACACACAAAACATATAATGCTTTAAAACAGGATGTTTTGTTGTAAATTGAAATGCCCAACATTTTCTTTAATACAGCTTGAATGTTAACTCAATTAATAATGATTTGTAAAAAATTGATTGGAAACTGTTTTCTTTAATCTATTGACATTCTTTATGTGAACATGAAATGGTTCCAGCTGCGTTCTTAAAAAAAGAAGTCATTTTCACATTTGTATTCAACAATCAAGCCTTTCATCATTGTTTGCTGTTTGACACAACAAGCATTGTGACGATGAATGCATGTGCAATAATAAAACAATTATATATTAACATAATAGTAGTTAATTTTCCTGATTATACTGATGATAGAACTGTAACTTCGTACACTTTGGTATGAGAAAAATATCTGAATACTACTCCACCATTGTTTTTCTTCTCATTGCTATTCTCACCAACAGTTCTGTAGAAGCTTCTAGTGAAAATGAATATTGTACAAGTCCTGGGTCTCCTACAGCTGCTGGCTGTACCTGCTTTCACTGTAAGTCTCAGTATTAACAATATCTATAATATCGTTCCAATTGCATGTCCATAACAAGTGATTTAATACAGATATAAATAGCAAAGAACACTTTGTACAGTACGTCCAAAATCTCAACAGGCAAAGGCACACTATGTTATTTCTGACACATGTGGTGTTTATGTGCCACAAAGAGAGTTTATGCAAGTGTTGGGGATGGTTTGTGGCTAAATGTTCCAGTTTCTATTTCAGTGTCTCCAGGATGCTCATAATGTGTGTTAGTGGTTGGTGGTGTGGGATATGGTGATGTGTGAGAGCATGTATGTGTTCCAGAGGCTGGAGGAGTGACTAGTGTTTTTCTTTTTTCAGCTGATACCGCCAAGCCATGACTACTGGGGAGAGTTTACAGCCTACGGGCCCTGCAGCCGCACCTGTGGCACAGGCGTGGCAATGAGAACCAGGAAATGTGTCACCTCCAGGTTAGAAATAGAGTGACAGGATGGAACATAATACTGTACTAAAGATTTTACAATACTCAAAAGTAGGACAGTAATTATTTGTTTGAAATCCTCTTTTTAAAAATGTTGCACTGTCTTTTTTTCCAGTTACTACTATATTCTATATAAATGATCATAATCATATTATTGAAGTGCACCTGATCTGCATGACCAATAAAGCCAAATACATTTAACAATAAAGAGAGTTATCTGGCTTTTATGTTATTAATATTATTTTTCTTTTCTCTTATAGGACTGATGGAGGGCATAACTGCCTAGGATCCTCTAAGTCCTTCCAAACCTGCAACACACAGGTAATTTGAGGCCTCTTTATTAATGAGATCCACCCACAACCTTCATTAATGTATCCTAAAACATGCCAATAATCCAACATTGTGTCACAACAGGCATGTGCAGATGGAACCAGGGACTACAGGCAGAAGCAGTGCTCCCAGTTTGACAGAACGGACTTTCAGAGCAAACACCATACATGGGTGCCTTTTTATGGATGTATGTAAAATACCTGTTATGTACTGTACATTTTCTTAAGTGTTTAGGATTTATTATGAGATGTATTTAACATTATTGGATTACCAGAGGTGTTGGTGTTGATTAAGTCCTCACTGACACCCTGGCAAACGATCTAAAAGTTAGTGCTGCTGTTTGATGTATTTACCGATCTATTATTTGTTCTGTAGCCGCCAATCCATGTGAGCTGAGCTGTGTCCCAAGAGGGCAGAACTTCTTCTACAGACACAGACCATCAGTGGTTGATGGGACACCGTGCTATGTGGGCCGCACTGATATCTGTGTGGATGGAGTCTGCAGGGTGGGAACAATAATTAGATCCATAATGCAATGACAGACTTTCAGTGCTTCATAATGTACTGTTTATCTATAGAATATCATTGCCTATTCTCCTAAATAAGTAGCTTTTATTTGCATTTACAAGTGCACAAGCACAGTGGTGTAATGAAAAAAATGTGTCTTTTCAGGTTCTGGTCCATGGAGAGTTTATGGGCTTGGATGAAGACACTAATTCTGTTAACTCTGCTAACATCGTTGCTACTCGCCCAAGGGAGACACTTACATACCACTACAAAACTGGTGTCTATGGCCAGTGCTCTGCCTCTTGCAATGGAGGCATGCAGTACCGCAGTGTGAAATGCTGGGTTCAGGACACAGCAAACCCCCGTGTGGTGGAGGAGTCTCACTGCATCAACCAGCGCCTGCAGAGGCCACAGAGCCAGCAGGCCTGCAACATGCATCCCTGTGCCGAGTACAGCGTCTCCAGCTTCAGCGTGGTGTGTACCTCACAGAGAACTTTATAGTTATATATATATAACAGACAGGCAATGGCATATTGTTGCTTGCAATTAAATGAAAATAAGTTAAAGCATTAATGAGAATAGAAAGATAGAATCCAATACTTACACCGTACAGAATGTAAAGCAAAGTGGCTAAGAGTACCATTTCATTATCACTTTTCCTATGTTTTTGCACAGTCCAAGAGTGGAAAGACACATCGATATCTTTGTCATTGGAAACATTGAGATTTAAGTTAAATGTGATACCAATTTAAAATAATTGTAAATGATATAGAGCCGATCAACTGTCTTGATTATAGTCTCATATTGTAATTAGTCAAGTCAGGTCACTTTTATTTGTAACCCAAACAATATCACAAATCACACATTTCTCAGGGGACTTACATTCTGTACGGTGTAGCATACACTACCATTTGTCATTTTTGACCATAGATCCAGAATAAGTTAAACTTACCACCATCAAGGGATATATTTTTATATGGAAAAACCCTTAGGAAAATGAAAATACAAGGACAATAAAGACAATCCTGGAAACAAAATGATATGCACCATGATTTATTTGGTAATGATGGTTTGCTGTGGGACTGACATTTTAAACTATCTTGTCATGATGCTCAGTGCTCGGTGACTTGTGGGGAAGGCCAGCAGACGAGGGAGGTGTTCTGCGTGGGGCCTGGGGGTGAACGCCTGGCTGACCACGCCTGCAACGGACTGGCAAGACCCTCTTCTGTCCAGGCCTGTCGTAGACCCGCCTGTTACACACACATCACCTGGCATGTGACCGACTACGGCCTGGTAGGTAACATGCAGAGTGTTGTGGACTGGGAAGGAACCTTTGCCTCTCCCCACATTATTCACCCTCTCCTCTCCTGTCTCTGCAGTGCACCATGAGCTGTGGTGGTGGTGTGAGGGAGAGGAGAGTGGGCTGTTTTGATACAGATTTGAACCCCTACCCAGAGGCCCGGTGTGGAACAGCTAGCAGACCCGTCTCTGTGGAAACATGTAACTCACAGCCATGCCACGCAGCACAAAGTGAGCCAAATCTGAACCAGTCAAACTCTTTTGGTTTTATTGTTTTTGCATGTTTGTATTTAACTAATGTACCTTATATTTAGTGGTCCCAAGTGTGCAGGACCCAAGGGCACATGAAACCACCACAAGAGGATTTGTGCCCCATGTTCCAGAAGACCCTTCAGGTATGTACAGCATGTGGAGGATGTTTTATTAAAATGTTATTCTCTTTCTACGCATTTCAAATGAAATTATTTTTGAATGTGTAGATTAAGCAGTGGTTAAGAAAATGTGGTAATACATATTTTATATGACACACGACAAGTTATTTTAGCACAGGCATTACTCAGATTATTTTCAAGTCAATTCCTCCTCAGGCTGTAAAGAAATGTTGCACTTATGTTGTCATTTTTAAAAGTCAAACTTACATCACTTTTGACAATTTCTTTAATGGGTTTTTAAAATAACCCCTGGGCAATTATGCAATCATGTACAGCAATATAATCACATAGATGGCAGATCAGCCCATCCCTTCCTCCACCACCACACTCACCCCCAATTACCACATCCGAGCCACACACTCTACATATATATAAAACATATCCAGCTGAACATAACTACTACTAAATAAAATCCCAACCCTTCAAAAAGACATATATAAACACATATTTACAGGTCTATGGAATGTACAGTATGCTTGTTTGACCATGTCTGCGTCTGTGTTTACTTGCGATAGCTTCCAGGCCACAAACAAACAGTGTCTACCCTCCTGTGACTGGTCCTCAATGCGCACAGTCACACTATGGCTGCTGTCCTGACGGCCATACCTCCGCCGCCGGGCCCAGGAATGAGGGCTGCTCCCTAAATGACTGTATTCACACCAGGTAACACTGCTCCCTTAACCCATTAAATCACATACATCTGTTAATAAATAGCATATTATATAACATCGAAGAACTTCTAATAATCTCTTTTCTGCAGATTTGGCTGTTGTTTGGATGGAGTGACTCCAGCTCAAGGATTTGCAAGGGCTGGATGTCCTGAATACCGGACAGCTGTGGTAAGAATAACATCTGTTTCTCCTTATGATTCAATAAACAGGATACTGAGGTTACTCAAAATGTATTTATTCTTTATGGAATGTGCCATATATATATGTATATAAGTATAGGGTCTTTTTGGCTCTTGTGAAGCTTTGGCAAGTCTGAGAAAATAATCATAAGGATGTTTGTGGTAATAGGTTGTCTTTTTTTACCACAAAATGGGTATTCCCCAGTTTAAAAAAAAAGATTGACCCATTTTACCAACTAAATTGTTTATGAACATCCTCTAACTAAACCCTGCATATATATATGTTCTAGATGTACTGGCTATACAGGACAATTGACCATCTTTCTTTTGTCTTTCTTTTTTTCTAAGCAACACACACCACCTCCTACTGCCCCTCCAGCCAGTGGCAATGTGTGCTCCATGCCTCGCGATGAAGGCTCCTGCGACAGATGGGCGGTGCGCTTCTTCTTTGACTCTGGCACTGGCAGATGTACTGAGTTCTGGTATGGAAGCTGCCAGGGCAATGCCAATAACTTTATGTCCCTGGGAGCATGCCAGAGAGAGTGTGGTGGTGTAGTGATGAGGGATCCCCCAACTCCACCTCGCAGAGGGACCCCAAGGAGAGGATCCCCCAGCGGGGCATAACCATCCACACAATTAATACCTCATAATCAGTACTGTCAACACAGCGTTTATTTTAACATCAGACTTTGGATTATAAATTATTTAGATCACATTATAACTGACACAATCCCAGCTCAGGGTTCTGATTTTGTTTGCAGTTTGATCTTTGGTATTTTGTTTGTGATGTTCAAAATATTCACTTTCACACATTTTGCCTTTTAGATCATATACAATTCAATGATGTCAATGTGATAACCCAAGATAAATCATTAACCAAATCAATAAATGTTCAAATATCCGGTAATAAAACCCGAGTGTGGTCTATTTTTGCAATGTTTCCAATACCGTTTTATTTTATTCCTCAATTTTATTTTATTCCTCAATTTTTCGGTTTTTACAAAACAAAATACAGTGGTGTAATATCAAATTCTACATTTACTGAGATAGTAAAATATGGTTTATTTACTTTTACTATGGATTCCTATTTTCTAAATGATGTATGGCCTGGATTTCAGGAGCAAACACTGTGGCTTCCTAGTTTTGTTGGCAAGTTAGAGTTTAAAAACATGTGTCAATGTTAGCATAAAACATTATTAGCCAGATTTTGATTAGGAAAAAATCTATCTGTCTCACCACAGAACAAAAATGATGTTTAGAAAATACTGATCTTGTATTTTCACGACCAGACTTTTACTTTGAAACATATTTTTTATATTTTGAAGGGACCTCACTTTACAACCGGAAATAAACGCATTTCATTTCCTCTGAGTATTTTTCTGCAAACAGCTGGCTACATTCATCGCACGGGGAATTGAAAAGCAATAAACACCGAGTTATTTTTGTCAGTTTTTCTTTCCTAACAATCAGACAGTGTCTGCAGTCAGCATAACCATGGTAAGAGTGTTTGGTTTTACGTTTTGATATGTTAAAACGCACGCAGTATCAGCTATATTAGCTCCTGTTAATCCATCACAGCTAAAGCTAAGCTAACAAGCTACGATGCTAATATTTCTCTGTCAATGGTGTCTTTTCCAGTTTCTTCGTTGCTATGAACATCTCACGATAAAATGTAATAATTAACTCATTTTTATTTGACTTCTTAATGTGGAATCAGTTACTTATGTGGGACCTATTGTAAAATAGTAATACGTTAAAGCCACAGTAAGTCATTTGATTAAAAAATAATGTGCATTTATCTCGTGTGATTCATGGAGAAATGTACTCTAAATGCTTGGTTTTTCACAGTAACGGATACAACTGGGCATTAATATATGATGTGATTTAACGTAATGTGATTGCATTAATTTGTGTATTTAATATTATAAATCATCTTTACAGTCGCACACAATTTTGCTTGTTCAACCAACCAAGAGACCAGAGGGCCGCACATATGCTGACTATGAGTCAGTGAATGAATGTATGGAGGGTAAGTCTTCTTCAGCTGTTTTTTAAATAGTTAACTTAACCAATACTCTGGAACTAGCAACATTACATTTTTAATTAAACAACATTCCTCACCATTGTAATAATTATTAATTTGAACATATATCAGCATCAGAAACATATTTATTGCCAAGTAGGATAACGCATACTAGGAATTGTTCCTAGTGTATATGATGCTTACATAAACAGTCAAAGAAGATAAGTTGTAAGAAAAGGAACAACAAATAAAACTATAATAACATTAAAATATAGAGCAATATTTACATGAAATATAGATATACCAAAACAAATATGTACACAATAATATGACTAAATACTCGTAAAAAATATGTGCAGTTTTGGTTGGAAAGGTGGAAAGCTGTGCAGATATTAGATGTATTTGATATTATTTAGTGCTATCTGTGCCATTTAAGCTAAGGTGTCCATGGGTGCTTTGAAAGGCGCCTCTAAATAGAATTAATTATTATTGATATTTTGATGATGTTTATTAAACACAAATAGTTTTGTTATTATTCAGCATGTCCTGCACCCTTCTTCCAGGTGTTTGCAAAATGTATGAAGAGCATCTTAAGAGGATGAATCCAAGCAGTCCCTCCATAACATACGACATAAGTCAGTTGTTTGACTTCATTGACGACTTGGCAGACCTGAGCTGTCTGGTGTAAGTATGATCTGCCTATCCATTTGAATCAAAATCAACCTTGCATGAAATGTGTTGGTCACTTCCATTGAAAGTATAATTTGTTTTGCATACAGATACAGAGCGGACACTCAAACATACCAACCATACAACAAAGACTGGATCAAGGAGAAGATATATGTCCTGCTGCGGCGTCAGGCTCAGCAGGCAGCAAAGTGAACACATCAGTAAGGAGTTGTCCTGCTAAACACTTGGAAGGAGTTTATGCTGCACTATTTTTCTACAGTGTCTTGAAGATCTGTGTATAAGGACAACATTGTCAGTTTGACAAAGGGAAGGGTTTACATACTACACCATACATTGGGAAAGGAAAGGGTTTGAAAACTGGGGACATTTCCAAAATGTGGGGCTTTATATAGAAAGGAAGTCGTGCTCTGCCGCCTACGTATGTTTGTTATTAGTTACACTAAGGTCTTGGTGGGGAGAATGACTGCCACGACTAACGTATTGATGGAGTGTGATCTGTGCTTGAAGAAATGTTCCTGGACTAGGTAAAAACTGTTTTTGTTGTTTTAGTAGTGTTTTTGTTTCCCTAGAAGTGGTTACATTTTCTTATACATTTACTGAGCAGTTGGATTTCGACATTCTGTTCACTGTGAATGCCGGTTATTTTACTTTTAAATAAAATAAATAATCTGCATAACTGACTCCAGAAGATTTACTTTACATATTCCATCTATAATTTCTGTCACTGTATCCTACCATCATGGGGGAAATATTTGTGTTGTAAACATGTTGATTTATAATAACGCAGTTTGAGTTTTCTTTGATTTAAACAAAAATAAAGTATTGTTTTCTGACTGGTCTCCACTCGCTACTATACAACAGATATCACAATGAAGAAAAAACATGTCCTGTTCATTCAGAATCTCAGTATAGAAATTGCTGGTTGACAAGGATCTACATATGGATTTGTGTATGTGTTTAATGGTTGGATTATCTGTTTAATTAAATGCAGAATTGCTGGATGATAAATCATAAAAGAAAGAATGGAAACATTATTTATTGTGATATTGAACTGAGCTGCTATGTCACTGTTTCTTTAAATGTGGCGGCTGCCCTGTTGTTGCTGTGCTGGAAACCCCGTACCTACTCTGAAGGGACCCAAGATGGCTGATTACTCACGGGGGGGGCAGTTAGCAATTATCTGAACAAAAACGTCGGGAATGAATGGCAAATAGCCTTGTAATGTAAAGCGCAACATTTCAGTAATTATACGACTACAGTTGGTTGGTTTGCAAATGTTTTGGGACGCATGAATACCAGTAAGGGGAGGGTGGTCTCTCCGCGGCCCCGAGCCAGAACATGGCGGAACACTTGGGGAAGAAATAGCAGCTAACGCTAGCTAGCTGGCGCAATATTCAGACACAATTAGAAACATTGATCCAGGGTAAACACGTATGCGGTCGACAAGTGTCAAATAATGTTATCGGTGTTCCGTTTTTGTCATTTTGCTTCAAATGGTTGTTTAATATGTGTAGCGTAGGCTGTTAGCGTACTAGCTAGTTAACTCGTTCGGTTTTCTAGCTAACAGGCTAACGTACACACTGTACTAACAAACAGGCGGATTGTTTTGGGACCAGAGGTCGTAACGGTGGGGCTTATTCTACGTTTCCTCTGTGTGGTCGGACTTTCAAATATTTATCAGGGCTTGTTTTTGTGAATTAACACGTTAGCTAACGCCAATGTCCTCCGCACTGTAAATTAGATTGTCGTTAGCTTGACACAATGGCTGTTTTTATATGGCGCTACAACACTGGTGATATAAGTTTGAAGGCAGCTCGTTAAAATAATCAGATATTGTAGTTTGAATCGTCGTCTTCCTGGATAGTAGTATCATTCAAATAGCTGTCAGCCCGGTTGACCCCTGACACTAGTTAAGTTAGTCCTGGATTGTAGAAGTGATCGGGTCTAAAATAAGTGAATTAAAGTTGTGGCGTTACTAGGTGAAGCAGACACCCTGTAAAGTCAAAGAAGGTCCGGAAGGGGGAAACCGGTCACAACTACCTGCCAAGATGACGGACACTCGTCGACGAGTCAAAGTCTATACCCTGAATGAGGACAGACAGTGGGATGACCGTGGGACTGGACACGTCTCCTCGGGATATGTGGAGCGTTTGAAAGGCACGTCGCTGCTGGTGCGAGCAGAGAGTGATGGTAAGCAAAATAAAATATACAAAGCCTGTGTGTAGTGGCCACATCAGGACATGAGAATGACATCAAGGGCAAGACATGTGGTTGAATGTTTTCTATACACAATCTTGGATTTGTTGTGAATGCTTCTCCAATTGTCTTTTCACATTATGCTTGAGTTAACTAAAAGTTCTGCTTAGCATTAAGTCAAGCAAAAACAATGCTTTCTGATTACATTTTGACAAGTAACAACGAACATAGAGCCAACCCACACAATCTGTTACACAGGCATGCATATGTAAGTCAGTGGTACCTTAAACCAACGGGAGATGTGTAGTACATACCTCTCAAAATGTATTGAGAGCCTTAATTGATGTGGGATCTGGATCAGAATTTGCAAGGGGCCTGATTTGGCCGCTGGGTCTCGAGCCAACTGAGAGATCACTTGCTGTCTATTAGCCACTGTTTTAGTTGCTCTATATGTAAACAATACTATTCACCACGATTTTTGACCAGCTGTGTCAACTGTAACCATGCATGTAAGCCCACATGTATGTAGCCAGTATTCCTTACCTAACTTCCTTTGATGACAATAATGGGCTGACTTAGTTTTTAACCTCACAGGTTCCCTTCTGCTGGAGTCCAAAATCAATCCAAACACAGCCTACCAGAAACAACAGGTCAGTATATAGCATGGGGCAGTTATCTCATCTATAATATGGATTTTCTATCTCTGTGCACTGATTTGTATATTGCATTGTTTTTCTTTTGGAAAGGACACATTGATAGTATGGTCAGAGGCGGAGAATTATGATCTGGCACTCAGCTTCCAAGAGAAGGCTGGCTGTGATGAAATCTGGGAGAAAATATGCCAGGTAACTACACTTAGCTTTGTGTGGGTGTGTGTTGTCTGCTCCGATTGTGTATTCATTTAATAGCAAGTGTGTTTGGGTGTTCCTTATGTGACTGTTACATCTGACATCTTTCCTCTGCTTGTGTCATTGTTTAGGTGCAGGGAAAGGACCCATCCGTTGACATCACCCAGGATGTGGTGGACGAGTCTGAGGAGGAACGCTTCGACGACATGTCCTCGCCAGGTCTGGAGTTACCTCCATGTGAACTGAACCGCTTGGAGGACCTGGCCGAGCTGGTGGCATCCTCACTCCCGTCACCACTGCGGCGCGAGAAACTGGCACTGGCTGTGGAGAACGAGGGCTACATCCGCAAGCTCCTGGAAATGTTCCGTGTGTGTGAGGATTTGGAGAACAGAGAGGGACTGCACCACCTGTACGAAATCATAAAAGGCATCTTCCTGCTCAATCGTACTGCACTCTTTGAGGTTATGTTCTCTGAAGAGTGCATCATGGACGTTATTGGTTGTTTGGAGTTTGATCCAGCGCTCTCGCAGCCACGGCGGCATCGGGAGTTTCTGACTAAGACAGCCCGCTTTAAGGAGGTGATCCCCATCTCTGATCCTGAACTGCGTCAGAAAATACACCAGACTTACCGGGTGCAGTACATTCAGGATATGGTTCTGCCAACGCCCTCTGTTTTTGAGGAAAACATGCTGTCCACCCTGCACTCCTTCATCTTCTTCAACAAGGTGGAGATCGTGGGCATGCTACAGGTGAGATGGGGAGTCAATTATAAGGTTTGCCAGTGAAAGATATCCGTTTTAACTTTCAAATAAGATTTGTTTTTTTGTGCACCATATTTTCACTTTTAAAATGTTCTCATTGCTAAAGCTGATGATACTCATGTATATTCTAAAGACATCCTGCTTTCACCTCAAAAGGCACACATAAGATCGTTTCTTTGAAATAGTGTTTATATCGTGAGGACTGGAAATTACGATAATTGTAGGATTGTGCAAAGTTTTATTTCTGTCTGAATCTGCTTTACCCTGTCTGAGTTTGTCTGCTAGTCTTTTTATGGTCATGTGACCTTTGTGTTTTTGTACTGTGTCAACTCAGCAGTGTTTATGTATGGTTGTCTCCATGGAGATGGAGAAGTGTTGTGTAAATCAGTTATGCTGCGCTAGAGGAAAACTGAAACTGGCACTCTGTTGCCTCTGGTACACCGTGCACCGTGTGAGGTTCTAGAGACAAACATTACTGATAGTGACCTTCTTCTACCATGAAGCAGTCTCGTTAGAAGAGCAGACCAAGTGTTTTATTTGTGTGCATTTACCTAGAATATTCATTTAAACACGAAACTGGAATGCATATATTATTGAATGGCACTGATTCTTTAGTGTAAAACAGTCAAATGCATAACCTATCATCCACACTTTTTAAGACTTTTATTTGTAATATACAGTAGATTTTCTTTAATGTAAATACCAGTAAACAAAATATGTTTTTGATTTATGGTTGTAACTTGAACCTGAAACAATGTTCATAACATAAAACATGTCACACTATAACTTTAGTTCTGTCTCTGGTACATTTGGTGGGTGCTAGATCAAAATAGATTTGATTCGTCCACCAAGATGGAAATGTGGCTTAAATCCTTCCAGTTAATTTAGTTTCCTGGTTATTGATATCTGACTCCTCCTCTTGATCAATAACTACTTTGTCCACAGTGTTTTTTTTCTTATTCTGATTTGTTGATCCTTTGTGTGATTCTCCCCTTCTCATCTTCCCTTCCTTTTTGATGTCAGGACGATGAGAAGTTCCTGACAGACCTCTTTGCACAGCTAACAGACGAGGCTACAGATGACGATAAAAGACATGAACTGGTATGCCAGACCTTTCATCAAAGGTATTATTCATAACAAACTGTTCTCATGTCCATCCTTGTTTTGATAGAGTTGTGGTTTGTTTCTTTCTCATAGGTGAACTTCCTAAAGGAATTCTGTGCATTCTCGCAAACGTTACAACCTCAAAACAGAGACGCCTTCTTCAAGACATTGTCAAACATGGGCATTCTACCGGCGCTAGAGGTCATACTGGTGAGTGCAGCAACCTTAACGTCAATCAGAGGGAAGTCAATAGGGCAATGTTTTCTTTGACATTTAAGAATGTTGGCTTTTGAGCTTTGGTGTTGAGATAAGCCTTTTTGCGTTACGATCATTTAAAGGTGGGGTAGGTCATTCACTTCAGAAACACTTTTTGTTATATTCCATGGAATGCTCTTAACGTCCCGATAGCAATGAATACATGAAATGCTTTGACAATAAATCCATAACAAAAAGTCATCTGTGGAAGCCGTGGCGCTGTAAAAAGCACGACCAATCATTTGAGCCGGCCCGGCTAAAGTAACTGGATGGCCTACCTGCCTGTCAGCCTTCCATCTGTGCACAAACTTATCTCATGCCCTCATTGGTCATGTGCGCGTTCGTGTGTGTTGGTGGAGGGGCTCTGTAAGGAAGTCTGAAGGAAGGGGCAGATTGTTTCGGCTGCGTACTTTCAAATTCTAGCGCACTCGAGCTGGGTTCTCCATTCTTACTTACCCTACCTTTAAGATCAAGAAGTTACATACTCCTAGAAGAAAAATATGAAGCACAACAAGAACCATGTCAATATTATCAGTGATGTTGGTATTAGAGCGATGGCAGTATGTTGTTCGAGCTGATTATCGGTTCCATTCAATGCTTTTTGGTTACAAGGCATAGTGCATAACACAAGAACACCTCGTTGATTTAAACTGCTGTATTAAAATAACCTTTCTTGTAACTGAGGGGCCGGTTTTATGATTGTTTAAAGTGAAGGACACTAGAGATTGTTCATCATCAGTTAAAGCAATGTTCATTATGACTATGACACAGCCTTTTTGTTTCTTGTGCAAGCAAACACAAGTACCGCACTGCAATAAAACAAACCAAATATTGTTCAATCTTAAGGCTTGCTACGTTGAACATACGCAGTCGAGCACACACAAATAATAAAGCAATCGGCAGCTCGGCTTCTGCAGGTTGGCATGATGGTATCTGGTCTGAAGATGACAATTTAGAGAGGAGCTTCTACTGGTTCAGAATAGTTGTAACGTCAGACGTCTCCTCCCAAATCAAACAGTCATTGAACTGGTGGATCTAATTATACCTGGTTGCGTTATCTGTCAGGAGAATAAGCTCTATGTACGTACGTATGGCCAGATGACAGTGTGCTGCTGCCGCCGCTGTGTGTAGAGTGTGTATGCTCGGCTGCGACGTCACCGCCTGTGCTGCTGTGTGCAACATAAAACCACCCTGCAGCACAGTTCTAGTGGCTATAGCAGAGCCTCTTCTTTTACAACAACACGGTTAGCTGCAGAAAAGATTTAGAATCTGATGCAAGAGGAGCGGTTAGACAACCAAATGTACCATGTTCTGAAACACAACAAACAATACTCTCATGCAATAGGTTATTTTCTTGTTTGTGTTCCCTATTGTTCAACATACAATCTTCATTGGAACTACAAATACATGTGTGGGGAAAATTACATGCAGTATTTTCATGATCACCTTTTGAATTTATGATACTCGAATACTTTGTTGATCCGCTGACTGATATAATTAATGTTCATGAAACAGGGAATGGATGATGTTCAGGTGCGTGGGGCCGCCACAGATATTTTCTCTTATCTGGTGGAGTACAACCCCTCCATGGTACGAGAGTTCGTCATGCAGGAGTCTCAGCAGAACGATGACGTGAGTATATGAACAGTCAGTCAGAAATATCAGGAAATGGTATTCATTGTTCCACACTACGGGTGGATATAAACAAGTGTATTACTAATAATTAGTCATTGGCCTTCCAGGACATCCTGCTGATCAACCTGATCATAGAACACATGATCTGTGACACAGACCCAGAGCTGGGTGGAGCGGTGCAGCTGATGGGTCTGCTGCGGACCCTGGTGGACCCTGAAAACATGCTGGCTACGGCAAATGTGAGTTCACCTGATATTCTTATACGCGTCTCCCCCGGCAGAGCGCGTCTCCCCCTGCAGAGCGCGTCTCCCCCTGCAGAGCGCGTCTCCCCCTGCAGAGCGCGTCTCCCCCGGCAGAGCGCGTCTCCCCCTGCAGAGCGCGTCTCCCCCTGCAGAGCGCGTCTCCCCCTGCAGAGCGCGTCTCCCCCTGCAGAGCGCGTCTCCCCCTGCAGAGCGCGTCTCCCCCTGCAGGGCGCGTCTCCCCCTGCAGAGCGCGTCTCCCCCTGCAGAGCGCGTCTCCCCTGCAGAGCGCGTCTCCCCCTGCAGAGCGCGTCTTCCCCTGCAGAGCGCGTCTCCCCCTGCAGAGCGCGTCTCCCCTGCAGAGCGCGTCTCCCCCTGCAGAGCGCGTCTCCCCCTGCAGAGCGCGTCTCCCCCTGCAGAGCGCGTCTCCCCCTGCAGAGCGCGTCTCCCCCTGCAGAGCGCGTCTCCCCTGCAGAGCGCGTCTCCCCTGCAGAGCGCGTCTCCCCTGCAGAGCGCGTCTCCCCCTGCAGAGCGCGTCTTCCCCTGCAGAGCGCGTCTCCCCCTGCAGAGCGCGTCTCCCCCTGCAGAGCGCGTCTCCCCCTGCAGAGCGCGTCTCCCCCTGCAGAGCGCGTCTCCCCCTGCAGAGCGCGTCTCCCCCTGCAGAGCGCGTCTCCCCTGCAGAGCGCGTCTCCCCTGCAGAGCGCGTCTCCCCCTGCAGAGCGCGTCTCCCCCTGCAGAGCGCGTCTCCCCCTGCAGAGCGCGTCTCCCCCTGCAGAGCGCGTCTCCCCCTGCAGAGCGCGTCTCCCCCTGCAGAGCGCGTCTCCCCCTGCAGAGCGCGTCTCCCCCTGCAGAGCGCGTCTCCCCCCTGCAGAGCGCGTCTCCCCCTGCAGAGCGCGTCTCCCCCTGCAGAGCGCGTCTCCCCCTGCAGAGCGCGTCTCCCCCTGCAGAGCGCGTCTCCCCCTGCAGAGCGCGTCTCCCCCTGCAGAGCGCGTCTCCCCCTGCAGAGCGCGTCTCCCCGCAGAGCGCGTCTCCCCCTGCAGAGCGCGTCTCCCCTGGCAGAGCGCGTCTCCCCCTGCAGAGCGCGTCTCCCCCCTGCATAGCGCGTCTCCCCCTGCAGAGCGCGTCTCCCCCTGCAGAGCGCGTCTCCCCCTGCAGAGCGCGTCTCCCCGTGCAGAGCGCGTCTCCCCCTGCAGAGCGCGTCTCCCCCTGCAGAGCGCGTCTCCCCCTGCAGAGCGCGTCTCCCCCTGCAGAGCGGTCTCCCCCTGCAGAGCGCGTCTTCCCCCTGGCAGAGCGCGTCTCCCCCTGCAGAGCGCGTCTCCCCCTGCAGAGCGCGTCTCCCCCTGCAGAGCGCGTCTCCCCCTGCAGAGCGCGCTCCACCCTGCAGAGCGCGTCTCCCCCTGCAGAGCGCGGTCGCCCCCTGCAGAGCGCGTCTCCCCTGCAGAGCGCGTCAGAGCGCGTCTCCCCCTGCAGAGCGCGTCTCCCCCTGCAGAGCGCGTCTCCCCCGGCAGAGCGCGTCTCCCCCTGCAGAGCGCGTCTCCCCCTGCAGAGCGCGTCTCCCCCTGCAGAGCGCGTCTCCCCCTGCAGAGCGCGTCTCCCCCTGCAGAAGGAAGCCATGCACGCAACGAAGCGCAGAAGGATAACTTCTAGGCCCCGCTCTCTTGAACTGCTGCTTTCCTCCATGGTGAAACGATCAGGGGTTAGCGCACTTCCCACATTGCAGTAGAAGGAGCTGTACATGCCGCAATTTTTGCGTGGCTGTGTCTTTAGTTGAAAGCCCAGTAGCGACCTGCTCATCCGTCATCGAAAATAATATGCTACACAGGGGCGGACTTGCCAACTGTGTGTTCTGGAGAATCACAGTACGTCCGGTCGCCAGCGAACCGAGCCGGTCGCCATCACGCCCTTGACAACCGGGCTCGGTTCGCTGACGGCCAGCACCGCCCTTTATTTATTTAAATGTGTTGAAGCGGCATCATGTTAGTTGCGCTGACAGGCGACAGAGGTCCACAGCCCCCCCCCCCCCCCCCCCCCGGGTTAGGGTCAAATTCCCTTCTATTATAGATATTGGCTGTTAGAACAGAGTACAGACACATTTGTTCTATTCTCAAATATCCAGCTAAATAGAGCTCTGCACATTCAGCCTAGTTTTTAGTGTGGCATGCTGTAATACAAAGTCATTGTTGCACTTTTCAAGTCATGTTGCTACTAAAGAATGCGGTTTTCCTTTTAATCCTTTCCAGAAAACAGAAAAGACAGAGTTCCTGAGCTTCTTCTACAAGCACTGTATGCACGTCCTCTCCGCTCCCCTGCTGGCCAACACCACAGAGGAAAAGCCAAGCAAAGGTATAGAATACCTGCGAGGTGTGTGTGTGTACACTTGTCGGTTTTGTAAATAACATTTTAAGATGAATGCATGTTTTGTAATGCATGTTTTTTTTGATGTTGCTTGCTAACTAAACTCATTCCTCTATTAGATGACTTTCAAACATCCCAGTTGCTGGCCTTGATTTTGGAGCTGCTGACTTTCTGTGTGGAGCACCACACCTACCACATAAAGAACTACATCATCAACAAGGACATCCTGAGGAGGGTCCTGGTGCTCACCGCCTCTCAGCACGCCTTCCTGGCCCTCTGTGAGTCACATACAATCCCTTCAGATCTTAATCCCTGTTCATTCGGACACATTTCTACATGGTTTTTCAACTACATTTTGTGTTTAACTTTGTTTTGAGCTGAATATTCTTCTTTATCTTTTTGTAACCAGGTGCTCTGCGCTTCATGCGGAGGATCATTGGTCTGAAGGATGAGTTCTACAATCGCTACATCATGAGGAACTTCCTCTTCGAGCCCGTCATCAAGGCTTTCCTCAACAACGGCTCTCGCTACAATCTCATGAACTCCGCCATCATAGAGATGTTCGAGTATGTCCGTGTGGTGAGTAACTCATCCAAAGTTTATAACTGTTTCAAATGTTTTGTTTTAGCCAAGTGATAAGGTGAGCTAGCCATTCTATTCACCGAAAAAGAGTTTTCTTTTAAATATTTGATATTTTTGCACTGCATATAATTGTGACATGGACTTTGAAGTTTTCAATATATTTTGGATGCAATTTCCAGATCAGCTTGTATAAGCAACTAATGTTTGTAGGCTGGCAAAAATGTATATTTATTTATTTAATTTTAATTAGTTTGGTGTTCTCTCCCTCTCTTTCTCTCCCTTTCTCATTTTCTCTCCACTGCATTCCTCCTCTTCTCGGCCTCTGCCCTCTTACCTTTCCATACTTTCCCCCAATACTGTGTGTCTACACTCCTCTCTCTCGCTACTCCCATTTCCCCTAGGAGGACGTGAAGTCTCTCACAGCTCACATAGTAGAGAACTACTGGAAAGCTCTGGAGGATGTCAACTACGTCCAAACGTTCAAAGGCCTGAAGCTGCGCTACGAGCAGCAGAGAGAGAGGCAGGACAACCCCAAACTGGATAGGTGAGAAATTCAAATATTACACCATCACTCGTGATTTATTGAGTTAGGCAATCCTTTGTCTGTCAGTGTGTCTCACATGGGAACAAAGAACAATGCCAGGGTGAAAGTCAGCATGTACAGGCTGTTGAAATGACCGATACATTGTTTGTTGTGTGCACTATGTTTTTTGTTTTTTTAAATCAAGTCTCCTCCTTTTTGAATAGAGCCTGTTTGATTTATACCATCATAACATTTAGCATGTGCTAACAATGAGTGTGTGACTGGCTGTGATTGTGCAACGGAGCAGTTACTCATATATGACTGACTGAAGTTCACACTCGGGTCACTTATTATGTTGCCGCAACGTAAACTTGCATGCTTGCCAACAGGTGTTTCTTTTTGCTCCTGTTGTTTTGTTTTGTTATTGGACCACTTCCCAGTCACTCTGCAGTCAGCAGGAATGCTTCATGCTCATTGGTTAGCTCCTTTCTTATCAATGGAAGGGTTTGCACCACATTTTTTTAAACAGATTTTTACAGCACTAACAGTGGCATTATATCATACTGTCCTGATGGGTGAGAATAAAAGTGAGAGCGGACTGAATGTTTTTTAAATACATGTGTGTAGATACTGTATGTTTGCACTCTATGAAAGGCAAAGACCAAGAAACACCTTTGACGACGACTGTACATTTCGTTATACACAAGAATATAATATGAAGGCCAAGGACTTGACTGAAAACAAACGCATATTGCATTTGATGACATTTTGAACCGTATCTTTGGAACCTTTGGTGCCGGGCACACTGGTAATGCCTTACTTAGCGATGGGAGACATGCTTACAGAATGAATTGGTATCCACCTAATAAAGTAGTGAGACATGTCACTCACAGTGAAGTGCAGAATGCTCTTTAGGGCAAGTATTTTGTCTTTAAACTAAGCAATGCCCCCCCCCCCCCCCCCCCCCCCCCCCTCTCCAGCATGCGCTCCATCCTGAGAAACCACCGCTTCCGCCGCGATGCACGGACGCTGGAGGATGAAGAGGAGATGTGGTTCAACACGGATGAGGATGACCTCGAGGACGGTGAAGCAGTGGTCCCTCCCTCTGACAAGATGAAGAGCGAGGAAGACCTCATGGAACCTATAAGCAAGTTCATGGAGAGGAAAAAAAGTATGTATTGTTTTACAGCCTTAACAGATACTTTGGGGTTAAACTGGGGTCTGACGCAATTAAGCAACTTGCCATTTTGAAAGCCAAATGTAACCATAATAAAGAGAAGTGTCCTCATGTAAAGGCATGTTATGGTTATAGAGGATGCATTTTGTTGGCCAATCAAATGGTTCAAACATCGAAATGGGGATAATGACCATTTCTTGTCCTCCACTCCCTCCCCTCAGTGAAAGACTCAGACGATAAGGAAGTACTGGGGAAGTCGAGCTTATCGGGCCGGCAGAACCCCAGCTTCAAGCTGTCCTTCTCCGGCTCCACTAAGACCAGCCTCTCCAGCCCCCCCTCCTCCGCCTCGCTGAACCCAGGCTCTCCGGGCTCACCAGGGTCTCCGGGCCCAGGGGCACGGAGCTCCCCCTCCACCACAGCTGTAACCACAAAGGTACCTGCCAGCATATCAAGTTATGTAGAGGTGTGGGTCTTAAACTGTTAACACTAAAGATCTGTGGACAAATAACTGATGTTCTAAAGGCGAGGCAAACAAATATTTGCACAATGTCTGTTTGTATCAAACACTACTTAACTAAAGGAACAACAAATGTGGTTAAAATAAAGCTTTAACTATGAATGTTCACACTTAGACTGTCAATGTTCACACAACTCCCACCACCGTCCTTGTTATGTATCACAAAGACTGGTCATCACCACCCGTGTGCAATTTGACTGTACAAGTGATTAGCTCAATTTAGACGGGAGGAAAATAGAGGGAGGGAGAAGAAAAATGGCACTTGGAAGAAATCCACATCATTTACCATCAAGTCAGTTTTAAAATCGGCGTATTTACCAAGGACTTTCTTATTTTACTAACATCAAATAAGAAAGATGCACAAGAGAGACTAAAATGACAGAGCTGCAGAATGCCAGGGCGTTTCTGCAAGAGGAAATGCTATAAGCAGGATTCGAGTTATAAACTGAGCTCTATGGGGGTCGCACGCACACAGCAGCAGCCCTCTACTTGCTACACACTTAAATATGAAAAGGTTCAACTACGCACACACACCTTCTCTGCTCGCGCAGCACGCTCACAGGCATAGATTGCCTAATAATGTATTGCGCACTTTGGAGGTGCAGCGCAGGCATATTGTCCTTCAAGAGATGCGTAGTTCTTTTGGAAAACATGTTTTTCTTTTAGCCTATTCACCTCGTTAACGTAAATAATACTCATTACATTGACACATGCATTATTTGTGATTAAAATAATGGTTGTTGGTAATGTATTAGCGACCCCCACAGATGTATGATTTCACTGCGTCCGTGGGAGCTCAGAGCCCTCCTTAAGGGAGCTCAGAGCCCTCCTTAAGGGAGCTCAGAGCCCTCCTTAAGGGAGCTCAGAGCCCTCCTTAAGGGAGCTCAACTCCCATTGGCTCCCACATAACTCGAACCCTGGCTATACGGTCCCATGCACTTTTTCAGAGGGCTAGATTTTCAGCTAGTATGTCCTCCCAATCAAAAGTCTACCAGGAGGACCATTACCCAGAAACCCTTTCATGTTTCACTTTCTGATGCGTCTTTTGTCTTCTTCAGGGAGGTTTGGTGGGACTAGTGGACTATCCTGACGATGATGACGACGAGGACGAGGAAGAAGAAGAGGAAGACGTGGAGAGTAAAGAGGACCCTCTGCCACCTTCGAAGAAGTCCAAGCTGAGTTCCTAAAGAAGCTCCGCTGTCTCCGCTCTGCTCGGACAGTTTCAGCGCACAGCCTTGACACGGGAACCATCAAACTTGTAAACAAATGGAATGAGTGAGAGCCACCCCTCACCTTCAGCGGGTGGCCCAAGGAGGGGCAGACTGTGAACGGAAACGAAGCCTCCTCAAGACTAGTCCACTTCATACAAGTGCCAATCAGGAAACCAGGAGCGAAAAGGCGTCTGAAACGTGGAGCAGACGTGTGGAAGCTGGGGGAGAAAGGATCAGCGGAGGGTTTGGTTCATTCAGCAGCTTGAGGAAAAGACCACATACAAAAACTCACATGTACACGCAGACTGAAATCCCAGAGAGCTCGGACCATAACCCACTGCTCGCCCCCCACTCAGGGAAGGACACAGCGGCCCAAACGGGTCAGCCAATTCAGACCCAGAACCCCCCCCCCCCCCCCCCACACGCCTCCTCAGAACCTTCCTCCTTTACTTTCAACTTCCTTTTCTCCTCTGCTCTTTCTTCTCCCTTTCTTTGTCCGTTGCTTTTCGTCCCCTCCTCTTTTTTTAAGTTAGTGTATAGGACCAGACGGGAGGCGGCACGTGGCAACGAGCTGTCCTTGTTGTCGTTTGATGATGTCATCAGTGTCGTCGTCGTTCCTCAGCGGACGTTCTTTCTCTGAAGAGAAAAAAAGCCAGCAGTTTGTTCATTACTTTGTTTTTGTTCTCTATTTGTCTCTCAATCTTTCTCCTGTTTTTTGTAAATGACGACAAAAAAGGCCTGCCTTTAAATGTTCAGGACGTTTTCAGTCACACTTGAACAGGTTTTTAAAGACCTCAGTAGGTGAGCTAGTTTTACCCTTTTTGCCCTTTGAAACTGCAGATTTTTTGGAGAGTTTGTAATCCCGTCTTGATTAAAGATTGAGTGGAATTCTAGATGTGATGAATTTTGTCATATCTTTTCATTTATTTTTCATTTTACATGAGTGTACACTTAGTTGTTCAGAATATTTGGGACCATTAAAATGTTCTTTGCTGTAAGATGTCCTGAGAACTCAGGTGTTTCCTTGCTGCATCGTGCTGTTTCTGATCACAGGTCTCCTTGGCACAAGAATTAGGTCATTTTAGCTCCGAAGGGTTCGACATCATTCTACAAACTATTATCAAGCAACTCAACTTCACACTACAAAGGATAACAAATACAAATCCCACACTGAATCTTTTAAATAGTCACATTTTGGTGTGTCTTTTAATAATTTCCAACTAGGCAGATTTCCGTAGAACAATTGGTTGTCTATTTGGTTAAAAATTGTAATTGCGCTAGCTCAGACATTTATCTATCTTGCAGTTTTTCGGTGGTAAAGGTAATCCATGCTTTTGTAAAAAATGCACATTAACTTCTACATTGAGTTCTTTATTGTGTGGACACACCTCAGCAGCTATGTCTGTAATGTCCACCAGGCGGCACCCTGGGTCCATAACAGAATATAAAGATATGCGTTGCCTGCACTCAATGGTTAGTACCATAGGGGCATTGGAGCACAGCCTCTGTAAACACAGCATTTCATGCATCTATTTCCAGAAGCATGTGAGTTTGATGTCCTTACTAAACTATATCAGTCATTGTTGTACTTCTTTAAACAAAGCTGCAAGATTGTGTTTGTGTCAGAATCAAGTGTGTTGCCAGTTTGCTTTGGTATCTGATGGTGCGAACATAAACAATCTAAAAAAAATAAGTTGCAAAGTAGCTAACAAAATAAATATATGGATAATAAACAAGTATTTTTAATAAACAATTTAGCATTAAAAGAGGACAAATATTTACACCAAATGTAAATCTAGGCCTAACTATAACAACTAAAACACTTAGGACAATGAGTATATATATATATATATATATGAGTGTAATATGCAGTTGCCGACTGTTCCTCTTAGCTTGTCTCTCTTTATCATGAGAAATGCACAAAGAAAGGACCAGCATCTTAAATCATCATGCTTTATTTGAATATATATACCCATACATTTACAATGTTCCCAAGCTGACTCACTCAGTCACTCCAAAGCCTGTAGGGAATAACAAGATTATGTTGAATTTAAACATTATAATAACAAGTGTGCTCTTTATTTAGACACTTGTTGACAGTTGAATTCAATCTCTGCATGATTAATTGCATCTTCATGTTTATCTGTCTAACATTCTTTGCCCATAATAACTGTTATTGAGTTGGACTAGAGGTAGAGGTCAACGTGCCCTCTCAGTATCATAACTGAAAGCCACAGCACGCTGGTAGAACTAAAAGGTTTTTTGTACAATGAGAGAAAATAGTTTATGAAAAATGTCAGCACCTCCCAGCTCATGTGGTCACCTCAGTGGGAGTTAGAGTATGATTGAAAAACAAACAGCATCAAGGCCACCAAGGAGTCCCTGTGTTGTCCCTCCAAGTGCATTGTGGCCTTCAAACATTGCTTATTAATTAAATATGCCAACAGAAGAGGATCACTGTGTACTCAGCGTGCAGCGAGAGCCGTCACACAACGCCTATTAAGGCTCCCATTCACATGAAAGCTATCAACAGACAACGGCAGCTTTTCAGGATCAGCCCTCCCTGCCAGCCTCCGTTTGCTCCTCAGCAGGAGTGTGGCAGAGTGTGTGTGTGTGTGTGAGCTGCCGGTGCCAGCCACTGCTCCACCAGAATGCCGGCTCCACTCTCAATGCCAAGGCGCTCACCCGGCGCTGCCCGCCTGTATGTCTGCCAGACTGAAGAGTCCCCATCGGTGACACTGCTGTCCAGCTTCCTGCGGGGCCAATGAAAAGCCTCTTTGACAGCTCTCTTGATTGGCTATAGCTCCCTAAGCATCCAGGCTGCCAGTTATAACTCTCTGGATTGATCACATCAGGAGTTATCCATGCAAATGTTCCTACAGAAGCATGTGATGCACTGCATACCACAGCGTACTGTGTTGTGGATAAGTTGTATGCATTCTTATATGACAAAACCATAATTGCATATTGCAAGCAAAAGGGAGAAACTAGGAATTATCCTGCTGCAGCCCTCCCAAACACTCAAACACACCTTCAAATATTTCATACTCATCATTACCATGACTACACTGAGTGGTTTTAAACACTTGCTATGTGTTCAGTGTTTTCTTTGTTTGTTAGCAGGTTTACAGAAAAACTACTGAGCCTATTTGCATAAAACTTGGTGGAATGGTGTAGCAAAGGCAGGACCCCTCAAACGTTGGAGTGTATTGACCATGTGCTCTCTGAGGGGCCCTTCTAGTTTAAAGTGATTCTCGGAAGAAATGTATTTTATTAGGTTGTATACGAAATACTAAGCTAAAATGTAGTGCACAAATAAATTATATATTATTGTATCCTATCTTAAAATACTTGAGCTTACATTTGTATTCTTGACCATGTAAACAGTAGTAAACAAAGATATCTCCACTCAATGTCTACTTTATTGCTTGTTTTTAAGCATCTGACCACTTTTACAACAATCTAATTTGCCCATGGTAATTATGTTAGTAAAATGTTTTTCAGGTTCATTTTCAGTTAGGTTCCTTGATATAACTATTTAACTTTATATAAAATGACTAAAACTAATGACAAATTGAATAATAATACTTTAAAACTAAGGATTTGTACTACTTGTTGTGTCTTTTACAACTACTTTAAGCCAGGTGGTAATCTGTTTTTAACTTTGTGCTGTCAAAAATAAATATGACAAGTCATATAGTGTAATAAAACAGAGGGTTGGTTGGTTCTTGATAAGGGGTGTATTTTATAATAGTTTATAGCTCTGTTTTTAAGTATAAAAACAAGATTTGGATTGTCAATCTTGAGTATATGTCACTCACACAACTGGCAACATGCAGGCTGATCTATAGGGGGCGGTAGAGACCATTTGAGGAGATAAACAACAAAAGAAAAAAGAAAATTCTTGTTCGCTCCATAGACTGTCGCTCACAGGCCTGCGCTGAAGAAGTTACCTGTCAAAAAAGTCAAACTTTTCTGCTGCTTATTATTTGTGGAGTAACTTTAACTGATCACAGTAGCAGTAAAATGACAAAACAGTTTATCCCAATCCCGTGTAATCCTGGTAACCGAGTCAGGATATGAAATGGGAAATGTGGCACACATGCGGTTTTCGGAAGCCTAGGTTGTCAAAACACCCGCACAAAGTCCAGCCTCATGTCTGCCCACCGGGCCTGGCGTCGCAGCGGACAATGAGCTGTGTTCCCCGGCACAAAGTGCTCTCTGTGTCCGCTGGAGCTCCCCCGCTCTCTCGGAGCTGATTGGCCGTGTTGAGCACAGCACGTCCGCCGCTGCTGTGATTAATCACCGCGTTAAACTCTGCAGCGGAGCAGGGAGAGGCGGCAGGCCGACAGGGACCCGGGCAGCCGGCCGGCCCCGGGTCAGCATCCGTCGGTAGCAAATGAAAGAGTGGAGAAAAGTCATCATCCGTCACATCTGGTTTACATTAAAGCCGAGGTGAGATACAGTGAAGTCCAACATAGTTTTCATCAGAGCTCCCTTTGGCTGGGTGACTGAACTGATGTCTGCTCATAAATTACAGTCAAAAGTCTCCCAACTGACATAGGCTACTAATGTGCAATAAGTCGTAAAAGTTTTGATGTACAGTAGGCCCATTTTTCTACATAAAGATATGTCTCACTCAAGGTGGACCCCAACCACAAGTAGGCCTAACTGTGGCCATCTAATGTTGAATTGTTTTGATTGTGTAGGCCTAATTGTCCTTTTTGCCAAGTTATCTGCTTCTTAAATGCATTTTAGTAAGTGTCAGGGATTCCTGAACCTCCTGGGTTGTGTGACTCCTAATAAAGTTCGATGTCCCTCTTAATCAACAGAAAATGAATCCATAATAACCACATTTAAGTTATAGTCAAATAAAATGTGCTGGGTTAAGTCTTTCAAATCTAAATATTTCAACTTAAGTTTGTCTTCACTCTTGAGTGATCGATAATTGCATATCTTTGATTTTGGAGCTACTGTGAGGACAAAATAAGACATAGGAAGACTTGTTATGGCTGTTTTTCATGATTTCCTGACATTTTGCAAAGAAAAGTATTCAGTAATGAAAACCAGAGTTGTGAAAACGTTTTTGTCTTGTATCAAAAGTCAACTATTTAAGCTTTTGCAACTTAAAAGAGTTGTTATCTTCATTATCCCTTATGTTTTGACCCCTTCAGAGTAATTTGTGAGGCCTTTTTTTTGGCGGGGGAAGGGGTCTCAATCTCACATTGTGGACCCCTCTCTGCACACATGTCTTTTGGTTCTGCTCATAACTTGCATTCACTGCAGCTCAACACTTAAGTTAAGAGCAGATACAACTGTTCCTAAATGTGCCCCATAAACCAGCAGTAAGCCTGTGCTTCCTCGGTAGCAGGCAGCGGTCCCTTCATAACTCTTGTCCCTCTAAATCAAATACAAATAATGAGCTTTCCCATGGCCGCGTTGGGAGTGGAAGAATTTGAGGCTGATCTGCCATTGCTAAATGTTAAGTAGTTGGTATTGTGCCTCAGCATGGGGCACAGGAAACATAGATGTGAATGTAGGAGCTCTTGGGCTGCATGCTAAATGGAAATGTCACAGCGATAAAGAGCGCACCTTCCACACCCAGGATTGTGTGCATGTGTGTGTGTGTGTGAGATGGGTCGGAAGTACACTCCGGAGGCACGCTGTAAATCTACACCATGAGCTGCAGATAGCTGGTCACACATTGCATTGAGCACACATGCACTCTTGGATCTATTCCTAGAAGCAGCGGACTTTCCAGGAATTTCCTTTTAATGGTGCTCAAGTAATGTGGACTCACACATTGGGGATTTTATCTGCTACATCCCAATCGTATATAATTTCTGCGCCTATTAAAAGCCTGTAAAAGTCACACTGAATAAAATAAAACTAACTTCACCAGCCCTCTGGGCGCATATACTGGCCTGAGCGTGAGGTGTTTTTTGAAATGAGTCTGTGCAGCAGAGCGCTTGGAAACAGAATGGCTTCTGTGAAGGGA